TTTTGCAACAAATGATGTCATCCCTTCTCCAAGCATATAGCTGATGGAAGGCGCTTAGAAAGACACCTGAAGGCAAACAGACCCCAACTTCCCTGAGCAGGCTCCCCAGCAGTTTTCCCTGGCAAAATCAGGTGTTCAGTGGCTGAAGGTACATTGTGACACTAGCCAGAGTTCAGGATCGTAAGCACCATAAGCATTCCCTCTCCTACAGGCTCTGGGAGACTTTAAGGAGATTCATACACACAATAGATACAGTAGATAAGTTTTATACAGTCACTGTGAACAGTGCATTAGCAAACAGCGAGCAAACACTCCTGGTGGAAATACAGGGTTAGGTTCCTCCTATAAGTCTCTGGTCACAGCATTTCTGTCAGCCAATCAATGTATAACCTTGTTTTAGGTGTTTCTGTTTAAAGACAACTTATCTAACATATATTGTTGAATCATTAACATTGAGCTCATGGCCAACAGCATGGTAACTCTCATCTGAATGAAACTCATCTAACACTTTCTCCCTGAGGTACATCACAGCCTTCTGTGCTTGGGGATACTAGACAGCGCTTCAGTATGACACTTGTGGGCCATTTTAAACAGCAAAACTGCCAACCAAGGGCACGAAAATGCAACAACAAAAAAAGGCACTAAATACCACAATAAGAACATTTGCTTGCAGTATGAGAGCTGCAGTAAGAAGGCAGAGTGTCACCTTGCTGACACTAGGGACATGCACGCCAGACGACTCAAATTTTTCACAGCTCTGTGTGTCTGAAAATGACGAAAATGGTTTGGGTGTCGCAAAGCATTTTAGTGAGTAGGTGAATTCACAAATACAGAACCCTCAGATAATAAAGATCAAATCTGCATGTATGAATGTGAATGCAAATATGTATATACATATATATATATACTATATATGCATGCACATATTTACATATATACATATATAACTACACATGTATATGCATATATGTGAATAAAGCACCTTAGCCTAGTTTCTGTACCATACTTACTTGAAAAATGCATTATATTATTTCACATAAAAATCTGTCACTAGCCCAAAGTAAATCTTCGTTTTCATGAACTAAACAAACAAGAAATTGTAAGTATGTTTAATAGAGATTAACAACATTTTTTTTTCTCTTTGAGAAAATGGAAAAAAAAAAAATCACACATAGAGAGTGAGGCTGCCTTAAGGAAACTTGTAGGAAAAAGCGCAGATCCTTTCTCCCAACCATCAACATGGAAACACTTCCAGCCTTCTCCCTCAGGAAGTGAAGCAGCAAAGTTACGGCTGACTTCTCTTACCTACCTACTGTGCTGACAGGACCCCAGGGTTGTACAGGGCTCACTGGCTGGCACATTGCACAGGGCAGCACTGAGCTCTGTCTCAAGCACCAGGCGCTTGGCATGAGCATACCACTTAGCTTATACAGACCACTGTCAGGGACCCGAAGCAAGAGCAAGACATGCAGCAGGGCACGCACGCCCTCCAGGGACATTCCTTTCATTTGGGGAGAAGACACGCGTCCACAGGAAGCACAGGTGTAGCAGATTGCTTTGCAGGGCCATGGTGTCAATGGGTGCTAATACTTGGTAGCATTTACTGAGTGTCAAGCACTCCCTTACTTCTCCCTTCCACTTTGAGCAACCACCCCATGAGGTACGAGCTAGTGATACTATAGATTCCCCACAAGGAGACTGAATTTCAAAGGTCAAGGGACTCTGTCCAGTGACCTGCAGTTACAGGAGCAGAAGAGCAGCCAGAAGAGTTCAAGTGACTCATAACCCATAGGAGAACATCTGTGATGCTGGATCACAGAAGAGAATTTCTGAAAGAAAGCAGAGAGTATTTCCTCTCCAAGCCCATGCTTTATTCACAAAGTACATGAGCTGGCAGAGAAATACATGTCCTAGAACAGGAAGAATAAGGGCACCTCACACCCACCCACACACATGCACACACGCACACAATTTTAGTACTTTTACACCAGCCTGGAATATATCTTTTTGTTCCTCTCCTAAATAGCAGAGAAGCCCTCCCTGACCAGCTTGCATCTGTGGTTGAATATGCTTCCCAGGTGCTATCTGACATTTAAGCCCAGTGTACTTTTGTCATCCCAGAGCAGAGGCTTCTAGCGACTCACCCAAAGATTACTAGTAAAAGGTCCTCAGAATTGATTATAAAGTGCATTTGTCTCCCTCCCAGAACAGAACATTTGAGATGAGGAGGGCATGCCTGGAGGTGTGTCTCAAGAACAACAGGGATGGATTTGCACTGGATCAGCCCCTTTCTCCTTCCATGATGCCCCTACCTAACAAGCCATCTGGTCGACCCCACTCAGGTGGCCTCATTAACCAGGCTTTAACGAACTAACATCCCAAGGAGATAAATCTCTCTATTCATGTTTTTAAATTGCCTTCACAGGTTATCCTCAAATTAATCTCTTTTTAAGTACAAAAGTAATGTATTTCCTTTGAAATATATTCAGATAATACATCAGTGGTAAAAATAAAAGCAAAGCTCTATGCTTTCCATCTCAAGACAATTACTACTTACAATTCAGTGAGTATTCTTACACTTTTACCTACACTAACACAAAAAAGTATGTGTGCACATAATATCTTTTTTTAGTTAAAATTAATATAAAATTTTGTAATTTGTTTATATGCAATGCACAACACAGGCCTTTTCACGTCAGAATGTCTGTATCAACCTCGTTCTTCTGAGAATAGGCAGAGTAATCAATTATCAGGACACACTACCATTTATCTAACCCAGCACTACCCAGCAGGTTTCTGTGATGATATCCTGTATCTGGACTGTATAACCTGGCAGCCACTGGTCACACGAGGCTGTTGAGTACCTGAAATGTGCCTCATGAGGCAGAGGGGCTGAACCATTCATTTCTCACTTTCTGTAATTTGATTAATTAGAATTTAAAAGTAGTCACATGTGGCTAGCAGCTACTGTACTGGACAGTGCAGATTTAATGAGTCCCCTAATTGAAGGGCATACATTAGTTTTTCCTAAATTATCTTCATTAGATATTCTGATGGGATGCATATCTCTGTGTGTGTGTGTGTGTGTGTGTGTGAATATCTGAGTTCATTATTCCGTAATTGAGGTTTCCCCCAATACTGTGTGTTCTCTATTAATAAAAAGCCGGTTTCCTATAAACTGCATTCATTTGATGGAATAAAAGGCAGATGTGCCCGTATATTTGCTGCTAACGAGCCTTGAGGCACAGAGTCTCCTATATGCATTAGCCTCCTGTGTGGAGGTGCACAGTTGCCCTGAAGCAACCAAACAGGCTGGACCTTCTACAAGGTGCTACTGCTGATAGCTAGGCTTTCACCAAGGAGGTACCGGTGCTAATCTCCCACTTGGGAAGAAGGGTCTTCTGGCTGCCTGGCATGAATGAGCTGGCAGCAGCTTCTTCACTCGGTGTTTACAATATGGCATCATTAATAGTGCTCATACTAAAGCCCACCAAGCAATATTTTAGCTTGTTTCTTAATGTTCCTCAATTACCCATTCCTATCTGTTCCTGCCCATCCCCAGAAAAGCATAAATAAGGTGTTTGGCTGCAGCTCATGTAATTAGGCTGTGACCAGAGCTAATCTGTTGCAGTGGATGAAGTGTGTGTCCTCGGGACTATCTCTCACTACAACATGGGGAGGGAGACCTTGATGCCAACCTCACTGGGTCAGCATGAACAATGAGCTGATGTTGGAGTGGGAAGGGAGGAGGCAAAGGAAACAGACAGCTGTATCCCTCCAGCATGAAACACCACACCGGCCCCTGGGCAGTCATCACACACTCAGCCCCTGCCTCCAGGACTGCTTTGAACGGACCACTGTCGTGTTCCTGGGAAGGAAGAAGATGGTGGGTGTTTGGTTTGTTTTTATGACTTCATCAATGAACTTAACATAATTTTTTAACCTAATGAATATTAAATTCTAGCCAGTTACATCCTTCCAAAGGCTCTTCTCATCTTTGTTCACATCCACATATATTTTTCTTTTATAGCGGGAACAAAATTGTAGCAGCATCAACAGACCTCTAAATAAAGGAAGGGAAAAAAATCACCCACGATGCTGAAAGCCCTACAAATCAAACTGTTTTCATTTTACTGTGCTCCCTTTCTGTCTTTGTTCATGTGTATACATAATTTATGTCAGAAACTGCTCTGGTGATTTTGGTTCCAGGTATGCAGCAAAGGGCTTAAATATAACTCAAACCTCCAGCAGATTTTCTTCTGGGCCCTAGGCCCTCATTTCTTCTGCTTCTCCCTGGCCTCTGACCACTTCTGTTTTGCCAGGTTTAGCTCTAAGATTAAACCCTGTGCCCCTTGGGACCACAGCTGGATTAACTTACTCTGGCCAACTGTTTCTACTTTGTGGATTTCCTCTGGCCTTTGCAGGCATGGTAAAGTCCACACTGGGTATTTTCAGCAGATGATCATTATTATTGATGGTTCTTCTTGTGCCATATTTGATTGTTAAATACTTAAAATATCACCCCTGATATACCATGTTCATCTGCCCTGACTTTACTCACTTTTGACACCCAGTTTCCGTGTCCCCACATTTGATTATTGTAGTTGTGTCTGCCAGACTCCTGTTTCTCTTTGGGCTCCTCACTCTAGATAAGCCGGTACAGTCAATTCATTGAGGTTCCCTGGATCCTGTGATTTCTAGGACTCCATTTTGCTCTCCCCCCTTTTCAGTGGCTTCTGCTGAACCCAGAATCTCAGTCAAGCTGGTTGCCATCTGTCAGATAAATGCAGTCTTACTTTCTGCTTTTCAAACTTAACATCACTTTTCCAAATGCTGCCATATAAGCCTCCCAGTTACAGTTTTTTTTTTTTAATTGAATGAATGTTTCATAACTTCTTATGTATTCTCCTAAAACAATGGTTCTCACTGGGGAGCAACTTTGCACCCGCCCTGTGACTGGAAGACACTTAACTACGTCTGGAGACACTTCCGGTTGACACAGGTTGGGAGATCCAACTGGCATTAAGTGGGTCAAGGCCAGGGATGTTTGGAGACATCCTACAATGCACAGAACAGGCTCTACCATAAAAAATCATCATGCCCAAAATGATGACAGTGCTAACCCTGCCCTAATGTTACACATTCAGATTTTTGCAGGCTTTTGTCATGCCATTTTCATGAGTCTGCAAGTCCATTTTACTCATTGTTCTATTCCCAGTGCCTCATACACTACCTGATCTATGGTGTGCTCTTGAGAGCAGGGTGTTTTATTTCTTTGGGAGTATTTTTTTAAAGAAAATTCCCATAGAGAAGTTTGCATTCATGCAAATGGTTTTTATATGTTTACCACAGTTAGTATACACACTTTCCTTTCATGTAACTTGTTTTTACATTGCTTTTTTGTATCAACTTCCACTTGGGAGTGTACTACATGATGCCCTTGTTAATAACTTTGCAGAAACACACACAGATAACACATGAACTCTGCTAGCGCACTGCTCTGCCATGGCCTTGCTTCTGCCACCCTCCTGCCAATGCCAAGGCCATCTTTCCATTGTTATGACTAACATTTATTTATACTTGTTTATAAATTGTGTTTCTAACTTTGGGGTAATTTCTACAAGGTTGATAGTGAGCATTCTGATTCAAGTGCTTTAAAAATTAAGAAAGGAGTACAAAGACCAGGGTCATATGGAGAAGTTACACCATCTAGATGCTGAAAAAAAAGTGATGGAGTTTTATCAACCCTTAGTAACTGTTAGCAGCTATGTATGGTTTTTTCTTCTGGCATCATTTTTTATAAAATGGGGGTAATATTACTTATTATCAAATAGGGAAAGGAGTATGTCAAGACTGTATATTGTCACCCTGCTTATTTAACTTATATGCAGAGTACATCATGAGAAACACTGGGCTGGATGAAACACAAGCTGGAATCAAGATTGCCGGGAGAAATATCAATAACATCACATATGCAGATGACACCACCCTTATGGCAGAAAGCGAAGAACTAAAGAGACGATTGACGAAAGTGAAAGAGGAGAGTGAAAAAGTTGGCTTAAAATTCAACATTCAGAAAACTAAGATCATGGCATCTGGTCCCATCACCTCATGGCAAATACATGGGGAAATAATGGAAACAGTGACAGACTTTATTTTGGGGGCTCCAAAATCACTGCAGATGGTGACTGCAGCCATGAAATTAAAAGACAGTTGCTCCTTGGAAGAAAAGTTATGACCAAACTAGACAGCATATTAAAGAGCAGAGGCATTACTTTGACAACAAAGGTCCGTCCAGTCAAAGCTAAAGTTTTTCTAGTAGTCATGTATGAATGTGAGAGTTGGACTGTAAAGAAAGCTGGGCACCGAAGAATTGATGCTTTTGAACTGTGGTGTTGGAGAAGACTCTTGAGAGTCCCTTGGACTGCAAGGAGATCCAACCAGTCCATCCTAAAGGAAATCAGTCCTAAGTATTCACTGCAAGGACTGATACTAAAGCTGAAACCCCAATACTTTGGCCACCTGATGTGAAGAACTGACTTATTTGAAAAGAACTGATGCTGAGAAAGATTGAAGACAGGAGGAGAAGGGGACGACAGAGGATGAGATGGTTCGATGGCATTACCGACTCAATGGACATGAGTTTGAGTAAGTTCTAGGAGTTGGTGATGGACAGGGAAGCCTGGCATACTGCAGTCTGTGGGGTAACAAAGAGTCAGACACGGCTGAGCAACTGAACTGGACTGAAATATTACTTATCACACCTCAGTGGCAAGCTCCCATTTGCAGCTGCTATAAACTAACAAGAGATGATGGTCAGGAGGAGGTCAGATGCAACACAAGACAATAGAGAATGCTTTGGGAGCTATGATCAGAGCAGTCTAAGAAAACTCACTCCCTGGAGACCCTTCTTTGGAACTAATTAGTCTGAATATGAAGGATACAATCAAAATAGAATTACAGAATCCTCACCATATACACATACACTAAAGGAGAAATATAATTTTTCCCATAGAACGTTCTTTTGTTAAGCATCTATTTAATACTAGTCATTGTGAACATGAAGAGAAACAAACACACTGAGCATACATTCAAAGGAAGACAGATAATCATGGCAAACCATCATTTCATCCACCATGTACTGGGTGGAGTCCTAAACTGTTTACGTATAATTTAACCCTCACAATCACCCTTTGGGATCACTTATTATTACTTGATAAATGTAGAAACTGGGACACAGAGAGGTTAGATAACTTGCCTGAGTTCAATCACCTAATATGCAATAGAGGTCTAATTTAAACTTAGGCAGCCTATCTCCACTCTTAATCACTGAGCTATACTCTCTCTTGACAGGTGAGAAAGAAGTAAGTGTATTAAAAAGCAACCAAGATAGGATTTATCCCAGGTATACAAGTTGGATTAATATGCAAAAGCCAATGAATGTAACCCATTCATACAAACAAGTTGAGAAACTAAATCACATGATCATATCAATAAACACAAAAGAAAGCAATGGAGAGAAGACAATCTTTTCATCAAAGACTATCCAGCTGAAACAACTGGATACCTACGCGCAAAATATCAAATCTAGATACATATCTTACATTCTTCACAAAAACGAACTCAAAAATGAATCAGAGATCTAAATGAAAAACACAAAACTATAAAACTTCTAGAAGATAACATAGAAGAAAATGCAGATGGCCTTGGGTATGGAAATGACTTAGACATAACACCAAAGGTTAAAAAAATAATAATAACACCAAAGGTATACTCCAAGAAAGAGTTGATAAGCTAGGCTTCATTAACATTACTTCTGTTCTGCAAAAGATACTGTCAAGAGAATGAGAAAGTAATCAGCAGATTGGGAGAAAATATTTACAAAAGATATTTTATAAAGGACTATTATCCAAAATATGCAAATACCTTTTTAAAATTCAATAATAAGAAATTAAACAATGCAATTAAGAAATGGGCCAAGCACTTGTCTCATGCATCCAACTCGGGCCTGGTGCACTGGGAAGACCCAGAGGGATCGGGTGGAGAGGGAGGTGGGAGGGGGGACCTGGATGGGGAATACATGTAAATCCATGGCTAATTCATTTCAATGTATGACAAAAACCACTGCAATGTTGTAAGGTAATTAGCCTCCAACTAATAAAAATAAATGGAAAAAATAAAATAAAATAAAATAAAATAAATTGCAGTTGAGGAAAATAAAGAAAAGATATAAAAAGAGTGTTAAAAAAAAAAAAAGAAATGGGCCAAAGATATTAATAACATTTCACCAAAGAAGATATACAGATGGCAAATAAGCACATGAAGAGATACTCAACATTATATGTCATTAGGAAAATGCAAACTAAAACAACATTGAAATACCACTGCACATCTATTAGAATGGGCAACATTCAAACCACTAACAACATCAAATGCTGATGAAGATATGGAGTAACAGGAACTCTCATTGCCACTTTGGAAGACAATTTGGCAATTTCTTACAAAATTAAACAAACCACATGATCCAGCAATGGCACTTCATGTTATTTCCCTAAAGAACTGGAAAACTTATGCTCATGCAAACCCCTCACCCTACACACACATAAGAGCTTTATTCATAATTGCCAAAATTTGGAGGCAAGCAAAATGTCCTTTAGTAGGTGAATGGGTAAGTAAGTTGTAGTACATCTAGACAATGGAGTATTACCCAACAACAAAAAGAAATGAGCTATTAAGCCATGAAAAGACATGGCAGAAATGTAAATACACATTACCAAGTGAAAAAAGCCAATCTGTAAATGTATGACTCTAATTATATGACATTCTGGAAAAGGCAAAACTGTAGAGATGGATCAGTGGTTGTCAGGGATAGGAAGGAAGGCGGGATAAAAAGGCAAGCACAGAGGATTTTTAGGGAAGTGAAACATTCCATAGGATACTAAAATAACAGATACATATGATTATATATTTGTCAAACCTGTATAACGTACAATACCAAGAGTGAACCTGAAGTAAACTGTGGACTTTGAGTGATAATGATGTACCTATTTGGGTCCATTAATGATAACAAATGCATCAGTCTGCAGTGGGAATTGAGTAGTGGGGGAGGCTGTGTGTACATGGAGGCAAGGAATACACACAAAGCCTCTCTACCTTCCACTCAATTTTGCTGTGAATCTAAAAAAGCTCTTTAAAATAAACTTTATTTACATAGAAAACAAACTTACAGTTACCAAAAGGGAAAGGGGAGTGGGAAAGAGACAAATTAGGAGTTTAAGATTAACGGATACATACTATCCCAAAGAGTCGGACATGACTGAGCAACTGAACTGAACTGAACTACTATTTATGTAAAACAAATGAACAACAAGGTCCTAATGTATAGCGCAGGGGACTATACTCAATATCCCGTGATAATGTATAATGGAAAAGAATATGAAAAAGAATATATATATACATGACTGAATCACTTTGCTGTATACCAAAAAGAAATACATCAGTGTAAATCAACTATACTTCAATAATAAATAAAACTAAAGTCTACTTAAAAACTGAAAAAACAGATGTAGCCAAGTGTAAACCTGTCTCCATTCAGCCTCCTGCCCAAATGCGACCAGATGCACCCCTACCTCTCTTGGCCGTGCTAGGCCAGCTGCCATTCACTCTCCACCCTGTGCCTTTGAACCTCTCTGCTTGGAATCCCTCTCCCCAGCCCCATTTTCCCAGCTTTGACCATCTCCCATGAGGTACCCACTGCCAGGTCAGACATCACCTTTGGCTTCCTGACCCCTACGGGGCCAACATGCTCTCTGTACTCCCAAATTAAAATCAGAGCACCCCACCAGCCCAACACTTGCCATTCTGCATGCTACCTCTCTGCTTAATTCTGCCTCTCCTGGAGACAAGCCGGGGTGTCCAGGCATCCCAGAACCTCGTATAGACCCTGCCACATTTCAGGTGCCCACTCAATGCTAGCTGGAACTTAACAGCACTCGAGTAGTGGGCCGTTAACCCTAAGGCATCCTGTTTCCACTGCTTCCTATATGGGTGACTGTGCC